TGTTTTATTGTATTTTTCTAAACAAATAGTCAATACTCAAAATCCTCATGAAGCATTTATATTATTCCAAAACAGAGAGAAAAGGAAGGGGCTGATTAACACAAAATTCAGGATAATGTTATCTATGGAGAAAGAGAGGGAAGAAGAATACATGTCTATCTTATTTATTTACTTATGTATCTTACATGTCTGCTATAAATCTTATTTTTAATTCATTTATTCTTTGATAAATCACTTACAGGAAAGAATTATATAACATGGTACAAATAATAGTAATGATATCCTAATTTTAAAAATATTAGGGCTGTGGAATTAAGCAACTGACTACTTCTCAGTGCCCTGAGTTTTCTGTTCCAATCTATTTAATAAATAGGGCATTAAGTACTATGGGGAAAAGGGAAGTATAAAAACAGAAAAAGACATAGGCATGGTGCTAAGGAATTTCTACTCTTCCAGAGACTTCTTGTTTGAATAGGACTGGTGGTACGAACAGCCTGTGTAAAACACAGGAAAAGACTACCCACAACTGGCTGTAGGGTGTATGTTTTGCATGGCTCTTCCCTGAGTTCAGATCAAAGCATAGTAATTCAGCCACATGCTATCAACCAGCGATCTTGGTTTTCAAGATAATTACTGTGGCATGATTTCCTTTCAAAATTCTAGATTAGCATTTATTTGTTGATCAATACTAATATAAGACTGGAAATGCAGAGGTGACACCATTCTTCTTGAAAATGCTCAGCTGAGTTACCAGTGGTCTGTTTCCTCAGGAATTCACCTCAGTCATTACTATGTGTTTGTTTCTATTCTTCCTGTTCAAACAATGTTTTCTCTGAGTAGTTGAAAAATGCCTTAGGCTTTATTATGAAGTGGGATCCGAATTTAGGCGGAATTGGAAGTAAACTCTATGGCCTGGGAACATTCATGACTTTTGGTTTCTTTAACCTGAACTGGAGTTGAATCAGTAGCCTAAAGGTGAAAGCCTCTAAATCCTTTTATTACCCCAAACCCTATAATCTCTTTGTTTTAACCAAGTATACACAAGAAAGGTAGCAGAACTTCCCAGTTAACAAGTCAAGAAATCTCTACCTCAGATAAGAATCGAGCTTTTTGGGTTTACTCTCTGCACAAAATATTTAAAACCTAAAGAGACCATTTTGGATGTTGTTTATTTTGATGACCAGATAGATTCCTTTGTTTTGTAAAAGCCACATGCCCATGTTGCCTTCTCAGGACATTTTTGTTTCTAGCACCCTATCATTATTTGCTACTACACTTCATATCTTTTGTTTGAAGCATCTACAAATAAAAGTAATTGTTTAACTAATTTTCTCTTGAGCTTAATTTGACAATTATCAAATCACGTTTGTCAATACAACAACTGAATCAGATGTGACCCAGACGTCAACATTTTAAAAAGCCTCTGCAGCCTTTTCTATTATTTCAAGTTAACAGTAGGTATAAGCAAAATCTTGACTGGATCAGTAAGAAACAAAAATGTACTCTCCTCTGTCATTTCAAAGTCATCTATTAAAGCAACTCAAATTCAACTGCGTTGTAATACAAATAGAACAGCATAATGAAGCTTACGTTTAGAAATGCAAAGAGCATTTTGGAAAGTATTTTAGGAAGAATTAATTCCTAATTCTAACTATTAATATTCTTCCATAATTTGATTTTCATTTTTGTACATGTGGATGCCACAAAAATTCTATTTAAGGGCTTCCCTGGTGGCGCAGTGGTTGAGAGTCCGCCTGCCGATGCGGGGGACACGGGTTCGTGCCCCGGTCCGGGAAGATCCCACATGCCGCGGAGCGGCTGGGCCCGTGGGCCATGGCCGCCGAGCCTGCGCATCCGGAGCCTGTGCTCTGCAACGGGAGAGGCCACAACAGTTAGGCCCACGTACCCTCCCCCCGCAAAAAAAATGCGATTTAAGGTCTTTCTTTCTTTCCTTCCTTCTTTCTCATTCTAGTGCTGATATTTCTTGCTGTATAGTGAAACACTTCAGAGAATCATATTTTATCCCTCAGACACATGGAGCTGATGTGAATATCAAAATGATATAGTGGAACAGGAAGAATAACATTTAAAATCATAATAGGTTAGGTGAACTCAGGTTTAATTAGGTTCTTGGTAAGTATGCAGTGTATTATTAATGACTGCTTATTTACTCAGGAACCATGTTTGTTTTTGGCAAATTAATTTTATGCTGTGATGTGGGATAATACTTAGCTTTCTTGAACTGTTGAAAAGGCACTAGCAATATTATATCATATGTTATGCTTAATGGCCATTGTTAAGGCTAAACAGAAATAGGTAAGATGGTTAAATAACAGCATTCACTTTGCTTTTACTATTTCTTAAGTTTCCTAACACTAGAGAATACCAATGAAAGCTTTAAAATTGTTATATATGACTGGAACTCAAAGTTATTTTTTGCCATCATTGTAAGGAATACTGTGCATCTTACATATCTTGATATCCTATGTACAGAAAGTGACATCTACTGGAGAAAGCAGAACTGAATATTTACTTTCCAAACTATTTCCCTGCCAAACTTCCAGACAAGTTGCACTATCCTCAAGATTATCCTAAACTTCTAAAACAAAGAAAGATTTTATTTAGCTCAGTATGGTATAAAGCCTGACTTGTTTTGGTTATCGTTTTTTCAAAGATGCACTTTGGAAAAAAGTGGTTATGAAGGCTACACAAAATATCTCATAAGAAATGCAACTGGAGACTTCTGGAAAACACAATTCTAGCACATTACCTTAAGGGTAAAATTGAAGTTCTAATAACCATAAACCATTGAGTGGTGGATTGAAACAATTCCATTGTAACAAATAGTCTGAAAACATGTTTGGAAAATGTGTAGCTTCTTTAAATAGTCTGGAAATAGGAGTTGTAAAACAAAGTATGGGATTAGAATATATAATTTCTCTCTTGTGAAAAGGCATCCCCATGCTACTTTGAAACTTAATCATTTTTATTTATTCATGTTAAAAAGATGTATGTCTAACTCCATGATCAAGTCAAACCTCTGTTCTTAGGGCATGAGGGGATGCTACCCAGGTGTTTTTCATCTTGGTCAAATCTAAGAAATGACCCACAGCCCTGAAAGACAGAAATGGCATCAGCTTCTTTCCTGTGACAATAATTCTCAACCTTTAAGTAATCACTCTTTCATAAGGAGGACAAAAGCCTTTCTTAATGGAAGTTCCTGTGCTAGCCATTTTCAAGACTAAAAAAGTGAGGCACAGCTATATTTGGTGAGTTCATGAATATAATAAGAATATGGCAGTGACTCAGCCCTGTCTCTTCAGTTCTAGCTTATTCCCTCTGTGATATTACCAAGGTGCTTCCATATTTAGATTCTGCTGTCTTATCCTCTGTAGTTTAATTTCAGATTTTCTACTTCTAGTTGTTATTATCATTTAAAATTTTTTTGATTTTGTTTTTGTAACAATGCTCTTGCACTCCCTCTGCTGGCCTTGCTAATTAACAAAGCCAGTGTCCAAGTGGTCCTGATGTGTATCAGTGATACCGAATGCATGACTGGTGAAAACAGATGCAATTTTGTGTTGGAACCCAGTAAGAAAGTCACATTGTTTGGCTTTCATAGGAAACAACAAGGCCAAAAGAAAATTTGTTTGTAGATGGTGAAAACAAAAAGCATGATTACTTTTATATTTTCAAGAAAGAATTTAGTGAAATGGACAAATTCACAAATCCTAAAAATGTGTCTCTCTTTTCAAAACCATAAAACCAGTTATCCATATTCTATTTAAATGTATACGCATTTAGTAAAAGGCATATTTTACTACAAGGTGTATCAATTTTGAGTCTCTGTGTTTACACGCTGGAGGGTTAAATGAAATGTTGCCTGGCTTTGCTGGTAGGACTCTGGACCCCGATTAGATATGTAGCTGTCTGATGGGTCAGCTTCCCACTTCCTAGAGTTCCATTATGGAGTTACAAAGAAAATGACAGCACTTGGCAAATCCCAGGCCTAATCATAGCATAGAGAAGTGACTTTTGGAAGGTACATTAACAAGCAATTAGGACCCATTTAATAAATTACCCCTTATAGAACACTTTGAACCCTAGTGGTCTGAAGAGGTTAATGCACCTCCCACAACTGAGTGCTGTTCACTTTCCAGGGGTACCTTCAAGGCCACAGTTAATCCAAGCCTTCTTCTCATCGATGGCCTCTTAGTCTTGAGCCATTTCTATAGTCTGGCATCAGTAAGGACACAACACTTGCATTTGGTCAGTGCATTTCACACGCTTCATTTTCTCACAGTTGCATCCATTGAGTGGCGTGTTCATGAGGCCAAATGAGTTTGTGCTGCATGTTAACTTCCTTTGGCTTTCATGCTTCTTATTTGGAGTCATTCTGTCTTTCTTATTTATAGTCTTAACTTCTGGGTTTAGTTTAAATGTTACGTCTGATGTAATATAGTTTCCTCCAAAATTGTTGGGTAGCAACCACATTTTAAATGAATCCAATACACAAAATTAGGTTTTAGGATATTATTAAATTTGGAAAAAACCCACAGTATATATGTATTTGTACACTGGAATCTTAACATGGTTAGACACTAAAAAACATTAAAATATAACTGTAAGGGAGAAAAAGCTTTGTTTGATGCTAGAATGTGATTAGACTCGTCGGATTTTATTTTTAATTTTTTAAAATAAATTCAACCTGAGTTTTGGGGAGGAAAATGCTGATGAAACATTAAGGATTTTTATTTAAAAAGATAGTCAAGGGATGGAATTGGAATAGATAGAAATATAAAATTCTTACTGTATGTTCAAAATGGATGACATGGCTTTAACATATCACTGGTCTGCTGAATGATATTCCTGTAAATCATGATCAAAATCATCATGATTTCTAGCACATTTATTGAATAGTTATTCAAGGCTCTGCTGAGAGCTACAGGAGATGGATAAGACATGGCCTATGCTTTAAGAAGCTTATGATTGTATTGCAGAGCGCGGATGGAGGCACGTGGAAAAAGAACGATAATGAGTAGAAGATTACGATACATACCACGATTGAGTGCACATGGAAGTTTCTAAGAGAATTCAGAGAATGAAGAGGAGTCTCTGTTCAGGAAGGCTTGATGGAGAATGTGGAATTTGCTCAAGGCTTTTGTTAAGATTTTGATAGGAAAACTATCATAGGAAATGGCTAGAACAGATTTTAGAATCATATAGTATGTATCTTGGTTCATCTTCAAAATCAGACTGGGCTTTGAAACGAACAGGTTTTAATCAAAGCTGGCTTTATAGGAGGAGTATAATTTATGCACTACTGTTTTAAAACAATTAGTGTGAGTGTGTGCGTGTGTTTTTGTGTGATTGAGCCCAATTATTGTAAGTCTACACTCATTAGAAGTAATGTACCCATGAAGACGAGCAAAATAGTATGTAGATGTGATCTCAATTTAAAATAGAAAAATCGATTCAATACACTCTGTATCAGCGCTTCAAAAAATAAAATGAAATGCTCCAATATTGAGAAGTAATTAAGGTTACCTTTAGTTGTTAAGTCTATGACCATATTTCATAGGATAAGTTTGGGAGGCAGCTTTTCAACATGAGAGCAGACGTCAGTACATTTTTTGGAGTGTTCTACTTTGCCTTATCTTTATTACATACTGAAAAAGAAATAAGACAAAACACATTTTCAGTCAAATAATGTAATATAATATGGAAAGCACTGACTGTTGTCAACCTGATAATCAGGATATACTTTCAAGGTTTTGTGGGTTTTTTTAGCCAATATAACTATAAAATGACAAAATACCCTTTTCCAGGATATTTAGTGATTCACTGGATGAGTCATACCTTTTAAAAAATCTCTGCTCCTTTCATCGTAACTTGGAAATTTTCCATATTATAAACTGTGTTTTCTTACGCGACCATACGAAACAAAGACTATGTCTGTAAATCTAGCTTCCACATGAGTCTACACTATTATTGCAACATGGCTTTATATGGTGTGAAAGTCTTTTATATTTATTCTAAATAACTTGATTCTTATCCGAATTTAAAAAAATTTGCCCAGGGTGAGACAAATTCTTTACCATGTTAAAGTTTCAAAGTTTTGCGGAAAGACCTGAGGGTCATGTAGCACACTAGATGTGGTACGCCATTGGGTATGACTTCCCTTGTTGTGCCTTGAAAGCTACTTCTCCTTCCACAGCAGAGTTGCAAATCAAAAGTGAACTACTATTTTTTGTGGTAAGTAAACATTTGGAAAACTGGAGCCCCACTTTTAGATGTGGTGGTGAGATTATATTACTCTCCATTCGTACCTAGAAACACCTTAATATGATCATTTACTCCATAAGCAAAGCATTACCACGTACATTATTCCCCCTTGTTTTTGCATTTTACATTATTCACACTAAGGCCAAAGCAGATTTATTAATACTGGACTGCAAATGGCATTATTCCTCATACTCTGAGAATTTACATCCTGGGATAAACAACACTTATGGAGCAATAAATGTAGCACAAGTGGAAAAAAATCACATTATCCGTGGCATTTTTTTCCTTCTGGGATTTAAAATGCATTCAAATTGTTGACCAGCAAAACTTACTGAATGACCACTGTGTTTGGGCACTGCATCCCAAGATACAGAACTCTAAGGGGAATTCTTTTCTTCAAAGCATGTAAAGACTAGCTGGAAAAGGACTGACACACAGGAAAGACCAGCAAACATAATAGTGTTCTATAAGCACATATTAAATAGTATGCTGCAAACTATTCATGGTCTAGACATGCACTGTCCAATATGGCAGGCGCTTGTTACATATGGCTATCGCGCATCTGAAATGAGGTTATTGTGGGCTAAGATATGGAAACAACCTAACCATCCATCAGTAGGTGAATGGATAAAGAAGATGTGATATATACATACATTTTATATATATATATATATATGAATATTACTCAGCCATAATGAACTCTTGACACTTGTGACAACATAAATGAACCTTGAGGGTATTATGCTAAGTGAAATAAGTCAGATGGAGAAAGACAAATATCATATGATTTCACTCATATGTAGAATATAAAAAACAAACAAGCAAGCAAACAAGCAAGACAACAAAATAAATGAACAAACCCAGCCGAACAAAAACAAACACACAGATACAGAGAACAGGGTAGTGATTACCAGAGGGGAAGGAGTGGGAGGGTGAGGAGGGTGAAATGGGTAAAGGAGATCATCTGTACGGTACTGTAATGAATAGAAACTAAACTTTTGGTGATGAGCATGCTGTAGTGTATCAAGAATAGAGATATAAGGTACACATGAAACATGTATTATAAAGCCATGTTACCTCAATAATAAATAAATTAAAAGAAAAGAAATCTGGTTATTGTGAGTTGAAAGTGTTATAAATGGGACTTCCCTGGTGGCACAATGGTTAAGAATCCACCTGCCAATGCAGGGGACACGGGTTTGAGCCCTGGTCCGGGAAGATCCCACATGCCGTGGAGCAGCTAAGCCTGTGCGCCACAACTACTGAGCCTGTGCTCTAGAGCCCGCGAGTCACAACTACTGAAGCCCATGTGCCTAGAGCCCGTGCTCTGCAACAAGAGAAGCCACAGCCATGAGAAGCCTGCACACCGCAACGAAGAGTAGCCCCCGCTCACCGCAACTAAAGAAAGCCCGTGCGCAGCAACGAAGACCCAACGCAGCCAAAAATAAATAAATAAATGTTTTTAAAAAATGTGCTATAATTGTAAAATATACACTGAATTTAGAACACATAGTATGATAAAGGGAATGCAAGATATCTCATTAATAATTTTAAAATATTGATTACATGTTAAAATAATATTTTAGATACATCAGGTTAAATTAAAATATTATTAAAATTAATTTCACCTGGCTTTAATTCTTTATAGGTTTTTAACCTGACTATATAAAATTTAAGATTACAGATGCACCTTATAACCCACCTCATATTTCTATTGGACAGTGCTGCTATAAACGTCAAAGAATAAACTTAGCAACAAGTGCTTAAAAATCTGAAAAACTAGAAAGAACAGGCAAGATCTCAGCTGGGTCTGTAAGCATACACACATAGGGTTTGAATTAGAAGATGACAGAAGGGTGTGTTCTGGGATAGGAGAATAAAGTAAATGAACAGATGTAGGATGGTAGGTGTTGGAAACCAAAGCTTTATTTTAGGTAATAGTGCAGTGTTTTGTTATCTTATAAGGGGTGACAAATTCCGAGCATTTAATCTACTAATAAACATAGCTGCCAATTATTGAGTGCTTAGAATATGAAATTTATATACATAAATTTTCATTTAAACATCACACCAATCATATAAGACAAGTTTTATCATATCTATTCTCCAGATGAAGAGACTGAGGTTTGGATTGGCTCAGGGACTTAGTGAATGCCATAAAACTAGGAAAGGATTGATCTTAGTGTGTCTGACCTCAAATCTGTACTAGAGGCAGATTCACCATGAAGTTCATGAAGCTTTACACTTCTGGGTCCCACATGTGTATGTATCCCTTCCAAGGGAGACGCTCAAGGAATGTGTTCACATGCTTTTGGAAAATTTGCCAAATTAAATCATTTTCACCATAATCAGTCATGTCTGCTCTGTTTGCCTTCTGACTTCCCCTGATATGAAGGTAGTGGTGGATCAACATTTTGGAGAATCTGGCTGAAGGGAGAGTTCAGTTGGCTATACACCTGGTTTGGGTCTAGGGGGTTATTTATGTGTTTCACAGTTGCTTTTATGTGTAGTTAGGTTTTTTCTCGCCCTCCCAGGGTCGGAATAGATAACCCTGAGTTCTCTTACTGTCCACTTTACCAGCTCACCCGGGGTCATTACCAAGGGTGTAGAGACAGAAGTCAGATTGCAATATTGACTTGTCCTATGGTACCAGAGGATGTAGGTCATGGAAGAAAAAGAGAAAAACTTTAAATGTAAAGAGCCAGAACTAGTTTGTGGGATATCCTTCCAATCCCTAGATGTGTAGAATTGTAAGTGGAGAATTCCATTCTCATTGAAATCTGGTCAAAATGAAATATCCTACTTGATTAAACAGCTTCTGCAATTGTAAAATAAGGCACCATTAATTTCCTTTTTTGATGTGAATCATGCAAAATAGCATTTAAGAACTCCTGTGTTTTTAGCTGCAAGCCTGTAATGGGGCTCCGAACAATGAGTATGACCATGTGGTGTCACTTGTTTTTACATCCTAATGTATAGGATTTTGTTCTAGCTCATCTGATATGCCTTGTCTTGATGGAGTCTGGTGGTTCCAGATGATGCAACACATCAAAATTGTCATTGAAGAGAAAAATGGACTGAAGCTTTTCTAAACTATTGATAGTAAAAAACAATTTCTGACAACCATGCTATATAAAAGAATGCACTTTTTTTCTTCTATTATAAAATAGGCATATAAAGAAGTGTGCAGCCAAAAAGTGGTATTTTAGGGGAGATGTTAGACAGTTAATGAATGGAACCATTATGTTATTTTTCTGGGTTTTGTGACATTTATGGTGCTTGTTGGCCTTTAGTCCTTGTAATTTGTCATAATTTCTTTCTTATCCTATAGAAAGATTCACTTTTGGACCTAAGTTAGCATTGGCATTTTTTTCTTGCATACAGATTCCTAAATTGTATATGTATCTGATGTTGTAAGATGTGAACTCATCCTTGAACTGTACTGTATAACCTCACAGGCATTATTGTGGACTCTGGAGAAGCATATATGAAATATTTAAAGGTCACAAACCCCTAAAGAATATGCAGAGGGAAAGCCTGTCTATTATGTTATTGATCCTTGCAACTTCCCCTTGCAAAACAGTGGGTCAGACAGTGAATTCTCCATTATGCAACTAGAAAAAGTAGAGCCCAGACAGATGCTACATTACGGATCCCAAATTCCACAAGTGAGGCTGATGATCACGTTCATTCCATCATGAAGAGATTAGACTGTCTCCACCAATGTAGCAATGCAGAGGCAAGAGAGAGACAGACAGACAGACAGACAGCCAGACTGAGTGAAGGAGGGTGCGAAGAAGTGAAGGAAATAAATGAACTTTTATTGAGGGTCTGACTCTGTGTCAGGCCCTGTGTTAGTCACTCTCACGTGATTATCTTAGTTAATGAATCTTCAAATGTCTGTAATATATAAAGAAGTATCTATGATGCATTACATGCTTACTGCCTGATTTTATGACATCATGAGACCTGCCTGGGCTGCTCATAATCCAATAAGGAAGGAGGGCAAAAAAGAGGGCTCTGGAGTCACACTCAGAAAGTCCAGATAGATAGATCATGAAAACAAGAATTCACCCGTCATATTGAATGACACTGTAGATATTTTCCTTGAAAGTACAAATACTTTCTACGCTGGGGAAACAGCACTTACCAAGTGCAAGACCTGTAGTCAGTCACTATGATGTAAGATACATGATCCAGGCTTACAAGAAGCAATTCTTTTTTTACTCAT